TGGCTTTGGAGGCTGTCCTGGAACTCGCTCTGTAGACCAGGTTGGCCTCGAACTCACAGAGATCCGCCTGCCTCTGCCTCCCGAGTGCTGGGATTAAAGGCGTGCGCCACCAATGCCCGGCGAGTTTCACGACTTTGTAGTTGATTTGTTCTTAGTGTTGAAGGTTGGACCCAGGGCCTTGTCATAACTCAGCAGGTCTCCACCATTGAACATCTGCAGCTTCTATAGTTTCAGTAATATGGAAGACAAAGGCCTTCTAGTGATGGTTTCTACTGGACTTTTTACATGGATTTGAGAATGGAACTCAAGTGGACAGGTTTTCATGGTTAACTTTTACCCACTGAACCATGCCCCTGCCTTGGATGTGTTTTTTATCAGAAGACAAGTTATTTTACAAATTTTATATCCTGAAATTTTTTTCTAATATTGTATAAAATTCTTATTTTTCTTTTTTCCATTTTTGTGTGTGCATACAATTTTGTGTGCATGCGTGTGTGTGTGTGTGTGTGTGTGTGCGCTTGCATGTATGTGTAAGCATGTTCGTTCTTGTATACAGGTTTGTATGTGTTTGTAGGTGGAGGTTTGTCAATAGTCTTCCATCTTATTCCTTAAGGTTTTTCAATCAAACCCTGAGTCCACTGATATGGCTAGATTTGCTAACATGCTTGTCTGAGGAGCCCTGTATACCTTCTGAAGCAGGAATTAGAGGCATGCTCCCATGCCTACCTGGTATGTAAATGGGATCTGGGGATCCGAACTGTAGTCCTCAGATGAACTAAGCCATCGCCCCGTGCCCTCTATAGTATTAATAAAAGTGTTTTGCCTTGGCTGTTCTGGAACTTAATCTGTAGACCAGGCTTGTCTTGAACTCAGAGATCCCCTTGCCTCTGCCACCCTAGTGCTGGGATTAAAGGTGTGCACCACCAATGCCTGGCCAAGGACATTGCCATTTTAAAGGTAATTCAAAGAAAGATGTCCATGATTTTCTTTCTACATGAGACAAGGAAAATCTTTGTTATGTCTTTTTTCATATTCATTTCAGTCTCACATAGTAGACATTATTTGTTCAACTTACATATAACTAAACTGAGACCTATATTGTAGGCTAATTTGGCAAAGTTGCCAGCTAAGTAATAAAACCAGAATTCAAACCAAAGGCATTGTCAAGGCTCTTTATCTTTTCACTGGGCTATGTAGTTTCTGCAGATGAATCATATATGGGAAAGCGCTCTTAAAAATTACACATTTTAAAGAAATGAATGGCTGGTTTGTATTTTATTCAGTAAAGAACAGTCGTTTTTCATCAAAGATTTTGTGGCAGAGAGCCATGAAGTACCTACTAGCAGCACTTTTTAACTATTTATCTCCTTGCTTACCGCACTATCCGTACCCCTCTCCTTCCTTCCTTCCTTCCATCCATCCATCCATCCATCCATCCATCCATCCATCCATCCATCCATCCATCGTTGTTTGCCTTCAAGAGTCTCATGTAGCCCAGACTTGCCTCAAACTACGTGGCTGAAGTTGGCCTTGAACTTCTATCCTCTTGCCTTCACTTCTCATGTGATGAAATTACAGGTATTCACCATGGATACTGGACTTTTCTTACTGTTGCTAATGAGCTTAAGTGATGCAGATGTCCTAGCCCTTAGTGGTGTGGCAGTAGGTAAATAGTTAGTTCCAGCTCATTCATACATCCACATCCACTACACCCTTGCATGGCCTCACAGAAGGCGGGGTGCATGTCCTTATCCTGTTATTTTGGGTTTAGCCATACCATTTTCTTTGGCCACTAAGATTTGGTTTGAAAGTTGGGAAAATATGTATTATGCATTCAGAGATGGAAAGAGCAGAGTCTTTGAAAATTTTACAGTATTAAGTGTGTATGTAGAATTCATACACATGTAATTCTCCCAAACAGCAAAAAGGAGGTGGGCAATGCAGGACTGCGAAATACTGGTTTGTGCACTGCTGTCAGTGGTGCTGAGACCCAGGGACTGTGAAGTGTGTTCTTTGTCTTGTTTGTCCTTTGTATTTAGTTTTGACGATTCTGGATACTGAACCGCAGGCACTGTGCTTGTGAGGCAGACTGTCCTGCTGTGCTGTGTCCTCGGCTTGTTTTAGTTTTTGGAGACAAGGTCTTGCTGTGCCCTCAGCTGGTTTTCAACCTGTGATTCTCCTGCTTTCCTCATAGATCCTGGGATTTATGGGTGAGCACCCCTTCTAGCTGCTGAAGCTTATATTTTTATCTAGGCATAGATTTACCAGGTAAATGTAAATTTCCATTTACCAGGATCTTGGAGAGGAATGAGACGGGTATTTCTCATACACAATTGGAAGAGAATTTTCAGAGTTCTACTGTGAAGCAAGAAGAAAAAATTGGTGGTACTGCTGCAATAGGTCATGGTGTAATACGCTACCCAGCTCATTAGGGATCCAGGCCCCTGGCTCACCACCTCCCTGTGAGACACCAAAGCACAGCTATAGCTGGGCATAGCGTTCCTGAAGATCCTGGAGGCGGGGAGGCCATAAAGGCTCTGCAGAACAGGCGCCCTGCATCCGGGGAGACAGATGAGTGATGTGCTCTTGTAGAGCAGGCTGGTCTCGAACTCACAGAGATCTGCCTGCCTCTGCCTCCCGAGTGCTGGGATTGAAGGCGTGTGCCACCATCGCCTGACTTTTTTTTTTTTAAGAAAGTTTCACTGTCACCTATATGGCCTTGAACTCCCAGATTCAAGCAGTCATCTCTCTTCAGCCTTTCAAGTAGTGACCACCTTAGCACCATGGGGTGGTGCCTAGTTTCTTTTTTTTTTTTTTTTATAGTGTTGTCCAGGGTCTTGTAGGCAAGGACTCCACACTCAGTTACATCATCAACCCTGTTATTTATTTTTTAAGCAAGTTCCCAACAATATTGGAGGTGAGAATTAGAGGCTGGAGACATAGCTCAGCAGTTAAGAGTACTGGCAGCTCTTGCAGGGGATCCAAGTTCAATTCCCAGCACCCACATGGTACAGCTCACAACTATCTGTAGCTCCTGGTCCAGGTGAAGCCTGGAGCTTTGCTGATGACAATGGCACTGAGAGAATTCACTTCTAGGGTGAGTTGACCCTAGGACTTCAGCGTGTGTGGGATTGGTTTTGGTTTTCAGACAGGACCTTCCCATGTGACCCAGCTTCAAACCCCTTGAGTTATGGGATTACAAGTGCATACTGTCACCCTCTAACTGTTTTTCTGTTTTGTTCTGGGGAGGTTGTTTGTTTGTTTTGGGGGCAGGGTTTCTCTGTGTAGCCCTGGCTGTCCTGGAAATTGCTCTGTAGACCAGGCTGGCCTCAAACACAGAGAGCTGTCTGCCTCCGCCTCCTGAGTGCTGTGATCAAAGGCATGTGCTACCACCACCCAGCTCCTTTAATTATCTTAAAATAACTGCTGCCAGGTGGTGGTGGTACACACCTTTAGTCCCAGCACTCAGGAGGCCGAGGCAGGTGGATCTCTGTGAGTTCAAGGCCAGCATAGTCTGCAAAGTGAGTTCCAGGACAGGATCCAAAGCTACATAGAGAAACCCTGTATTGAAGAGAGAGAGAGAGGAAAAAAAGGAATTGCTGTGGGCCTGTGTGGGCTTGTTTTTCTAGTAGAATAGTAAGAATTCTACATCTACACACCCTCCTCCGCCATCATTCCCTCCTTCTATTTCAGTTTCTCCTCCTTCCCCTTTCAGTCCTTCCTCCCTTATTCAGTCTCTCCTTCTCCTCAGCTCCCCCTCCCTTTCAGTCCCAGGCAACCACTTACTGTGTCTACTCTTCAAACTGAGTTTAAGAGTAACTATGCTCACCCTCCAGGCCTTCCTACCGTGTAACTTCTGAAACTGCTCAGGGAATGTCATCAGTGACATGTCCCCTGCACATGTACAGTGGTTACCTTTCTCTTGGACCTACCATTCTCCTTTATACTGTTTGCTTCCCCTCCCCTGAGTGATAAGGATAAGGTCTGCTGCGCATGCTCCAGCCACATGTCCTGCTGACAGCTCTTTCCACAGAGCACGTAGGTACTTGCTGCTCTTAGATATGACTGAGATGAAGTTCACCTTGTCCTTCATCAAGGAGGGGGTGTTCACACTAGCTAGAAAGCCTTTCTCCTTCCCTGAAAGTAAACGATAGCCTGGATTATCTCCAGCCTAACGCTAAAGTCTTCTTTTCCTCTCATATGGCCTTCTCATCTTCCAGAGACAACTCACACTGCTTCCAGGGCTGATATGTGTCTCAACTGGTGGGGTCACCATCAGCTAAAGAATATCAAGGCCAGCCTAGGCTACATGAGCTAGCTTAAGAGAGAAACAGGGAGAGACTGGTGGACAGAGTGGCCTTTCCATACGCTTTGTAGTTTCCTCTAACCTAATTACCTCACAGTAAGCACTTAAGGACAGTGGTGGCAGGCAACTCCCTTTACCATTGTACTCAGTAAACCAGTTTTCTTCCCAAAAGAAAACAGTACTGTGTGCATTGTACAGCATGTCTATAGGCCCAGCATTTGGGAAGGCAAGGCATTAAAAAGAAAAAAGTGATTGCCCGGCCTTGTTGATACCCCCTTTAATCCCAGCACTTGGGAGGCACAGGCAGGCCTAGTCTACAGACAGAGTTCCAGGACATCTAGGACTGTTATATAGAGAAACTTTGTCTCTAAACTATCCCCTCCAAAGAAAAAAATCCATGCATTTGCTAGTTGCTGCCATCATTTGACCCTGGAGTTAAATATGGTTGCAGCTAAGACTGGTTTTAGGAACTGGGTGGTAGGTGGCTCTTGCCTTTAATCCCAGCACCCGGGAGGCAGAAACAGGTCTATCTTTGCAAGTTCCAGGCCAGCCTGGTCTACTGAATTCCAGGACAGCGTTCAAAGCTAAAGAGAAACCCTGTCTCAAACAAAGACTGGTTTTAGAAATGGTTAAAATAAACTGGGCATTGGTGGAGCACGCCTTTAATCCCAACACTCAGGAGGCAGAGGCAAGTGGATCTCTGGCAGGGGAGTACCATAATCATGAAGGTGTTTTACCCAGAGTGAGGCTTATCCATTGCGCTCCATATGTGCTGACCCCTGTGATTCCTCCAAAGTTGGGAAACTCAACTGCATAATTTGTGGTAGTGGGAGACTGTGTTGGCACTCTCCCCTATTAAAATAAAAATAAAGAAGAGAAGCTGCTGGCTGCTGGTGTTAGTGGATATAGCAAATGAATGAGATGAAGAAAGACTATGGGGTGTGTCCCTCAGTGGTAAAGTACTTGCTTGGTTTGTTAAAGTCCTGTTGACTCCCCACCATTAACAAAAAAGCTGGGCATAGTGGTACATGCCTTTATTTCCAGCACTTGGCAGGTAGATCTCTGAGGAGTGACATCCTCTAAGATAAGAACAAGGAAAGGACAGTGTAGGACTAGATTTCATATGAAGGTGTCTGTGTGCCAGGGGCAGTTTTGCAGGTAGGTAGAGGGGGAAACAGAAGTCTGCAGATGTGGATGGGCTACAGACAGCACATTCTGTCACCTGTGTTTACAAAGTGCTCCTCACTGTCCCAGGGATGAGGTATGGGAGAGTGTTTGCTCACCATTCTCTTGGTACCCATTTACACATGGATGACAGGACTGAAAGTATGGTCTGTGTTTAAAAGCATGCGAGCCCACATCCAGTACATTCCCCGAGTGGGTTTGGCATGGAAGCTGTTTTACAGAGGACCTGAGGGTTGCAGTGGGTGATATTTGCCTAGAGAGGACAAGAGAGGCAGAGGAGAGGAAGGGTGTAAAGAGAAGCTTTTTCCTTGAGAGAAGCCTTCCCTCCAACCTGGTTCTAGAGCCGCATCAGTCCCAAATAAACACACAGGAGGCTATCTATATTCAGTATGAAGCTGTTGGCCTTGCTTGTTTCTTACTGGCTAGCTCTTACTTAAGTAATTACCCCATAATTGTTAATCTAAGTATTTCTCTTACCGGAGAATAGTTCCGGGCTTCCTACCCCATGGCGGTTACATCTCGACTCTCCTGACTTTCTCCTTCCCAGAGTCCTCCTGGACTCCTAGTCCCTCCTATCTTGGTTCCCTATTGACTCAACAGTGCTTTATTGACATAAGACTTCCCCAACAGAAGGGGGATCAGCAAACCTCCAGGGAACAGTAATAAGAAGTAATGGTGGCTGCTCGTACGTAAGGGATTGATAACCATGCCTTTGCCAGGCATAGTGTGTACACACTTAAGTTCTGAAGCTCAGCCAGCTGTATGATCCTGAAACAAACTGCTCTCCCAAATAACCCCAGGTTCAATTCCCAGCACCCACATGGCAGTTCACAACTGTCTGTAACTCCAGTTCCAGGGGACTGGCACCCTCACACAGACATAGATGCAGGCAAAACACCAATGCACATAAAGATAAATCTTTTTTTTTTAAGTGCTCTTCCTGAGGACCCAGGTTCAGTTCCCCGTACTCAAATGATAGCACACAAGCACCTGAAACTCTAGCTTCAGTGGATCAGATGTTCTCTCCTGGCCTCTGTGAGCACCAGGCATAAACACAGTGCCCTTACATACATGTAAGCCTGCACATAAAATAAAAGTAATATTTAAAAATCAAAGTGGTTGCTGGCAACAGACTCATGGAGGTGTTGCTCACAGGGCAGGATGCTGATTTTTGTCCTCAAGGTGTGACTGACTCCAGATATACTGATACCCTGGAGACCTCCTAGAATGGAAAGTGGTGGGCAGCACCAGGAATCTGAGGCCTTTCAGTGAAACAGCTGGCCCACATGTTGGTGGAAGTCAGGACTGAATATGCCATGATAGAGGCTCTCGATATTCTGCAAATCACAGCCACCCAATTACACCATCCCATTGAACTAGATCATTCCAGAACTCTGTACACCTAACTCTGAACCTCCAGGCTGAGCATATACAGGCTGGTATTCATAGATGGAGGCTGGTCTTGTACTGTACAACAGTCACATAACTGTAGTAGTGGTGGGGATGGAACACACAGTATCACATTGTTGCTATGTTCTGTCACCATCCTAGTATGTGTCCTTTATTTACCCTCTTCATATTGCTTTTTATCTCACTTGTGGATATCTGGAGACTGTGCTCTAAGGCTTCCCCACCTCTCCTCCCCCGCAGGGACTTTGCACATGTTGGGCACTCCCAAAAGTGCCCAAGGCTTGTGAATCTGCCAGGACTACCACAGTACCCCACCCACATCACTCCAGTTAAATTTTTGCCTAGTTGAAGATGTGGCCCAGCACTTCCTTTGGGTGGATGTTAGAGAAATGAACTGTTCCTTTGGAACTTGTCTGTAGCTGTTTGTGTGTAGCTACTGAAAGAGAACATGACAGGTTTTACACATGTTAGAGTTGAGAGGGTTTCTGATCTAGTCCAACACAGCTGGCTGGCTCATCAAATGACTTACCGCCTTTGGTGTCCACCTTCCCTGAAGAGATGGGAAACTGCGGAGCACGCCTTAAATCCCAGCTCTGGGAGGCAGAGGCAGGCAGATCTACAGAGGGAGCTCCAGAACAGCCAAACAAAAGAAATGTTAGAGTCCAGTGTGGTGCCTCATGCCCTTAATCCAGCATTTGAGAGGCACATTGAAAATTCAAAGCCAACCTGGACTACATAGCAAGACCCTGTCTCTAAAAACAAAGAAAAGTGGAGGAGAAATGTCAACTATATTTCCTCTGACCAATTAAGGGGGTTGGAGGATACCTTTACATTCTCCCAATAAACCTTTTCAAATCATTTTGTGAAGATTGCATTTTAGGTGGGTGACTCTTCTCTCCCCAGATACCCTTAGGTGGCAGTAGGAAGCAAAAGAGCCTCCATGGAAGCAAAGCAACACCTTTAAAAGGGAGCTTGTTCTTTTAAAAAAAGATTTAGCTTATATGTGTACACACGGGCAAAACACCCGTAAGATGCTGATAAGGCAGGAAAGAAGGGTGGCAGCAACTGAGACTGAGAGGTGGAGATACTTGGTGACCCGATCACAGCCTGCTGCTGAGAGCTGCTGTCCTGTGTGCTTGGGCAGCACTCAGGTCAGAGCGTGCCTGCACTCTGCCGGCAGGGCAGTGGTCCTCCTCCTGAGACTTAGCAGTTGTTAAAGAGTCTCACTGTAGCCCAGATTGGCTTTGAACTCTCAAGGCTTCGGCCTCCTAAGCACTGGGATTACTAGTATACAGTGCCACACACAGTGCCAGGCTGGAGCATTTTTATAGCACACTTCGTGTGCTCAGTAGTGGAGGCAGGTGTGGGCTAGGGCTGAGGGGTAGAGGGTAAGATAAAACTTAATAATAAAAGTAAGCATGAGAAAGGAGGGGCTGAGAGCTGGAGCCCAGGCTGGGGAAGGAGTGAACCACAGCACCTCCCCAACACTCTGCCAGTTCTCATCTCGGAATTCCCACCCTCAACTCTAAGGGCCCTTACTCTACAGCGTTGCACAGGGCATTTGCCTTACTCGGTAGCCCTGTCTGGTTTGCTCTGTTCTCTGAGAGACTGGAAAGCAATGAAGAGCAGTGAGTGTTTTCTTTGTGTTTCTAGTCCCCGCAGCACTTGTCCCTGGCACACGTAGACTCTTAAGGCTAGCAGGATGAAGCTCGTCAAGAGGAAAAGGAGGGTGGCAGAACTTGTTCAGTGCTATTCCTCATCAAGTCTGGTGATGTTTGTGAAGCTGGCGATGGGGCAGCTGGTCAGAAGTCACTTGGGAGGTAATAGGGCAGCTGGTGAGATGGCTTGGCAGGTCAAGACACTTGCTCCCAAGCCCAGCAACCAAAGTTCAGTCTGTGGAACCCACATGGTCAAAGGGAAAACCGTCTCCAGCAAGTTGTCCTCTGACTTCCACAGGCCTGCTGTGGCCTGTGTACATGCACCCCTCCACACACACACAACAGGTGTGAGAAAGGAAAAGGAGGGCCAAGCAGTGCTAAGACACTCCGTTAGTCCCAGTTCTTGGGAGGCAGATGCCAGCCTGGACTGCATAATGAGTTCCAAGACAGCCAGAGCTTCACAGGGAAACCCTGTCTCAAAAAGCAAAAAGGAAGGAAGGAAAAAAGGAATGAAGAAAAGTAGTTGTCTTAGTGTGGGTTTCTATTACTATGAAGAGACCCTATGACCGTGACTACTACAACTCTTTTTTTGTTTGTTTGTTTTTGTTTTGTTTTTTGTTGTTGTTGTTGTTTTCAAGACAGGGTTTCTCTGTGGCTTTGGAGGCTGTCCTGGAACTAGCTCTTGTAGACCAGGCTAGTCTCCAAACTCACAGAAATCTGCCTGGCTCTGCCTCCCAAGTGCTGGGACTAAAGGTGTATGCCGCCACTGCCTGGCAACTACTACAACTATTTATTTATTTGTCTATTTATTTATTTATAAGTATACAGTGTTCTGCTTGCACGCCAGAAGAGGGCACCAGATCTCATTACAGATGGTTGTGAGCCACCATATGGTTGCTGGGAATTGAACTCAGGACCTCTGGAAGAACAGCCAGTGCTCTTAACCTCTGAGCCATCTCTTCAGCCCTACTATACAACTCTTATAAAGGAAAACATCTAATTGGGGCTGGCTTACCGTTTCAGAGGTTTAGTCCGTTATTGTCATGGCAGGAAGCATGGCAGCATGCAGGCAGATGTGGTGCTGGAGAAGGAGTTAAGAGTTCTACATCTTGATCTTCAGGCAGCAGAAGTGAACTGTGTGTCACACTGACCAGACAGACTTGAGCCTATGAGACCTCAAAGCCCGCCTCCACAATGACACACTTCCTCCAATAAGGCCATACCTCCCTAATAATCAAACATATGAGTCTCTAAGGGTCATTCCTATTCAAACCGCCACACAGGTGATGGGAAGAAAGTTGGACAAGAGCTAAAACCGCTCTTCCTCATGTGAGGAAGCATGCACCATGGGGTAAAAAGGTGGTTTTGAGAAGGGGTACAGAGATTGGCAGTTAGGTAGATGTGGGACTAGTGTGCTGACACTGCCACTACCTGAGAAACACTGCAGCAGTAGGGCTCCTGTCTTAGTCACTGTTCTATCACTGTGAGGGGACACCATGACAAGGCAACTTTTAAAAGAAAGCAATTAGTTGGGGGCTTGGTTACAGATTCAGAGAGTTAGTCTATGACCATCATGGCAGGTAGTATGGTGGCAGGCAGGTA